CTCCTGCATGCAGCAGACTGATCACTGGGGGAGGGGAGACTTTGCATTGATATAAGGTGGAGTGTTCCTGCAAGGATTCCATGTCAGGAATTTGCTGCTTCGGGCTCGTGAAGTTACTGATGGGTCCACTTAAAATTGCAGCTTCCCCTCCCCCACCCCCCGCGGGTGCTCTCAGAGTTGTAAGAACGGGGAAAGGGGGAGGGGCGATTACGGGGAAAGGTGGAGGGGCGATTAATTATTGATTAGAGCCAATCGTCTGACGACGGGGAACCCAAAACATTAATTTCCATACTGTTCCCTGCACCGAAAATGAGGTTCTCTATGCAATGCAGGCAGATGCTGGTTGGAGGGGCCGGCAGGGTGCTGCACATAGCTTCCTGAGGACATCACAGCACCCTGATGCTAGCCGTGGGAGGAGTTATGCAAATATCAAAATGCCCTGATGGTCGGGCGCTCAGCAGCCCCAATGCAATCAGTGGGAGGAGTTATGCAAATATCAAAATGCCCTGATGGGCGGCTTTCTCAAGAGCACTGATGCAAAACATGGGAGGAGTTATGCAAATATCAAAATGCCTTGATGGTCGGGCGCTCAGCAGCCCCAATGCAATCAGTGGGAGGAGTTATGCAAATATCAATACGCTTTGATGGGCGGGTGTCTCAAGAGCCCAGATACAAGCCGTGGGAGGAGTTATGCAAATATCAAAATGCCTTGATGGGCGGGTGTCTCAAGACCCCTCACACAAGCAGTAGGAGGAGTTATGCAAATATCAAAATGCCCTGATGGGCGGGTTTCTCAAGAGCAGTGATGCAAAACATGGGAGGAGTTATGCAAATATCAAAATGCCCTGATGGGCGGGTTTCTCAAGAGCCCAGATAAAAGCCGTGGGAGGAGTTATGCAAAGGAGGAGTCTGGAGGCGGTCCGACCTCGCCCAATGCCCGTGTAACAGCTCCGGTATCAAGAACAAGGCGACGGTCCCTGGCTGCCCGCACAGCTACCCCCCAGGGGCCGTCTACAAATGAACACTGATTGTTAAATCACACGCCCGCCCC